CTCCGTCAGTGATTCACTTTGACAGGGATTAGATCAGACCAGAGGCAGGGGATGAAGTTGTACAACCAGATTAATACATGTTAGAGTTTTCCTGTGAAATCTGTTTAAGTGGCTGAGGGGAATCCCACCTCTCATGTAATCCATCCATTTTAGATCTGATGGTTAGGAGGGAAACTTTTCCAGATTTTCACTGAACAACTGTTGTCGCCCTTGCCTACAAAAAATAATGATGAGTTTTTTAATTTTTCGCTAGGACTTGGTTTGGTTCCCTCTTATTCGTTTTTCTCTTCTTTAAATTACTCAAAAAGCCTTTCATTTAATCAAAGCCATATAGCATCCACATTGTTGAGGTTAAACAAAGGCTAAAAGGGACAATTCACCTAGCATCGTAGGATCAATTGGGAGAGTAATGCTAAGCTTGCTATTTCTTATTTTGTTAAATAAATAAAAATGGAAACAAAAGGCACCATCTTAACACATGTGTACGTTGTGCTTAAAAGATGTGATTGAAAAAGACACAAAGATACATGATGTTTCCACCATAGCTGGTTCTGATGCGGATCAGACCTCGAGGTGAGGCTCGATTCATTGTTAGCCCAATCTTTCGGGAACTCTCCTGATCTCCTCCATATCCACTAGTGGTTGCTGGATTTTTAAATGGTCTTTGCAAATCCCTGAGGAAACATCACCCGACCCCTCGAATCGAAGGAATAACATGGACAGACCGCGGGAGAGGCTTATGCATGGATTCCGAAACTTGGGGATTTTTACATAGCTTTCCTGGAACTGTATAAGAGGACTTTAACCCACAAATACATGGTGTCTATTAATCAAACATAACATGTCTTACATGGCACACACCTTGGCTGTTTAGAGTACAGCTGACTTTCTAATCTTGACCCACACGTTTTGACCGATATGGAACTCTCACATACCAACATGGAAACAAGCAATCTTATGTCTAATTTAAAGATTTTGCTACACCTACTAACTGAACCTAACAAGTAAATCTTGGACTCCATGCGCCATCTTAATCCTCGTGCCAGTCTTGCAGTTCTTCTCTTTACCTAGAAGTAAAAGGAACATTAACTCTAAACTTATTTTGACCGCTTGCTATTTGAACAAGCCATGGACAGGGGTGCGTGAAGTTAGCTATCCATGTCCCAGAACCATGAGTTGGTTTCGAGATCTTATGGGTTTCAGCTCTAGCCTACCCTTATGAGTTGTTGTTGTTCCACATTTTCTGATGTCCACGTGAAGGGGGTATTGTTGTTGTTGTTGTTCCACATTTTCTGATGTCCACGTGAAGGTGGTGTTGTTCTACATTTTCTGATGTCCATGTGAAGGTTTAGGAATAGGAATTCTTTGTATCTCTTCCTTGATTCTTTCTTTAGAACCGAACAAAACAAGCCTTCACAATTTTCCATGGAGCCGGACTCCACCTCTTATAGTCTTATGCTATTATTTGCAAGCCTTCACAATTTTCCATGCAGCCGGACTCCACCTCTTATAGTCTTCTGCTATTATTTGCGTGGAAGTCATGTATGTTCAAAATTGGACAATGGTTGTCCTGTGCACATACGTCATGCACAAATGAAGTTTCTCCACTCTAGCATGTTCAATGCCCAACACAGCATTCATCGCCATTGTAGCAATCAGGACTTTGGCCTCCTCACCTCCATCACCATTTTTTTGGGCACATAAATATCTCTAATTTTGAGTTTATTGGGAACACGCGCAGCTTCAGTAAGCCCACTAGTGGGACACTATATCAGGCTGGGTATCGGAAAAAAATACATGGCATTTTTGTGCAACGAACGTTATTGTATTCATTTGATCTTCTCTTTACAGCCCCCTTGCAGCTGGCATTCTAGACACAGTCAAAGTCAAAATATTTTCAATAAGACTTTGGCTGCAACATCTAAAAATACTAGGATTAGGTAACTGTAAACCATATGAACATTTTTTTGTCAATTATATAAGATTTGATTTTTTGTGCAGCGGAAAGCCCTAGGCCAGGTGGTTATGCCTTTTCTATTTCTTTACTATAAGCTCTCTCCCTTTTTTAAAGAAAATTCCCCCCCTCCATGCAGGCCATCACTACGAAGTTATCTCTTCCAAAAATTCGAACTATCATTAAGAAGTTAAATCCTAGACAGAGGGACTTGGTGAGGGCTTGCGGATTTGGGACAATGCTGGATATTAATTGCTCTCAGTTGCCAAGGGATTTGGGAGTTCGCCTAGCGATTTGGTTTGATTGTGACAGTCGAACTGTAAATGTTCCAAATGTTGGCAGCTTCGAGATAAACCCATTCACAGTCCACCAGATTCTCGGTATACCATTGGGTGGTCGGTTAATTGACAAGATAGCAACAAGTGAGGCCAGGAGGGTCATTGCTGAAGACACCGGAATACATTCTACTGGGCCTAGCATTTCACACCTGATGAAGTTATTGTCCAATGACCTCACTGATGAAAAGTTCCTTAGAATCTTCATGCTCATTTTACTGTCAACCTTCCTGTGTCCAACCAGTCACTCCTGTGCGAGCCCGGACTACTTCAATGGCATTGTTGCCACTGATGATATCGCCAACTATGACTGGTGCAGCTTTGCATTAGACTGGTTAGTGGAAAAGATCGGACAGTTTCAGATCTCCTTGTCCAAGCCAACCGTGAAAGGTAAAGAGCAGTCTATCTCTCTTGGAGGATGCTTGATGATTCCTTTGGTGAGTTATTGTCGCTTACATAAATCTTATATGTGCATTCTTTAATTTATTATCATTTCTTGAAGGTGGATGTTTTTCCTTGATATATGCTTTTTGTAATGGACATGGTGTAGGTAATGTTCTTTGATTATCTCGATCTAAAAGGAACAAAGATTCGCAACTGCATCCCACGGTTACCAGCTTGGGATGATAAAGCCATCAGCGCGTTTGACAATATAAATTTTGCACAACTAAAGGTTAGTTAAAACTCTCTGTATATCTTTTTCCATCTCTTTTTATCTTTTCTGTTTCCATGTTTCTGTATGCTTCTCAGATTTTTTGTCCTTTTTTACTCACCTTGCTCATTTTGGGTTTCCCTTTTTCAGTTCAAAGACATAACTAAAACATGTTTCATGGAAAAGCCATCATGTATTCCATCGTCTCATTCTTTGCCAAATGGAGTTGCTCAGTTCATCGACGGACTTATCCCATCTGATGATGATGTGAGTATATGGAGTATCTACTGTTTTCTAACAATGTGCTGTCTCTACTCTTTTCTAACAATGTGTCATCATTTTCATGTCTCAGTTCAGGGCAAAGATGAAGGAGATGTGCGCCGAATTTTACAAGACGTCAATGGATGCATGCTTTAATGCACTACAGCCAGTCCTCGCAAAGCAGATGTGCACAATGGTTGAAACTATTCAGAACCAGGTCAATAACAGAGCTTCATCATCTTCAACACCACCAGTCAATGAACTGACCTGCAAGGAATGTAATTCACAGAAATGCACAATGCGGGATGGTGTATCCGCCACACCGCTCCAAACAGTTATAGATGCAGAGTTTCACAATCCTTCAGTGGGTCCAGCACTGGGTACGGTAGAGAGCACTGGTGGTGGTGATATATTTCATTACGACCCAAATGATGAAGATGTGATAAATGGCCTGCTGCAATTATGCCGCCATGAAGGATCTGTTATGGGGGATACACCTTTTGGTGCCCTCGTTGCTGACCAACCTGTTGTTGCCATGTCAAGTGAGCAAGATTTTGGTACGGAGGATTCGCCATCAGCTGCTACTGAAGTTGGGCACCCAGAAAGCAATCAAATTTCTGCCGCTGAATGCTCCAGGGCCTCCAAGAGGCAGAAGTCACATTGACCTCGCTGTTTACATTGATTCTGAATCTGAATCCTCCAGGCCCCTGAAATTCAGAAAACCAGAAATTCAGCTTGCGGAGACAAATAGAAACGTCGGGCTGGTAATGATTTTGCAAAACAAGTCCTAAACCCCTAAGCTCCCCAGGTTTATGCATCGATACCAGAACGCATGAGAACTATTCCCAAATCCTGAACGATCGGGTTGGGTGCTTTTGCAAAACCTGTAGCTGAAGCCTGACAATCAAAATGGCTGAAGTTATCTTGTCGTTCTAAAAGAGTGAAGAACTTTGTGTGATGGATTTATAGAGAATATAACAGGTCATGTTTTAGCGATTTCCTAGCCTCTCATGTTGCAAAAAAAATTGTTGTAAAATTCAGATTAACATGTTGTGTTCTGTCGAACTGCAATGCTATTCTGCCCGATGAATGTCGATCTGAACCCTGAAATGACATGGTCTACTCATTCTGCTCTTGTGCTTCTTGTTACAGTTTTTTTTTTACACATCAGAGCTTAGAGGACTCTGATAATAACGTCACTTTTAGGAAGTTGTTAATCTCTCGACTTGATAGTACCATTTTTATCACTATTGTCCCGTCCTCAGACATTACCAAGGAACTTTTTCCCTGTCTGCAGCTTTCCCCGAAAATAAAAGAACTTCAGAAAACACATGCATGGATTTTTCCTAAAAAAAACAAGGGTCTTAAATTTTTCTTGGTTTATATACATTGAGCATAATAGAAAGCTTCTTCGTCCGACTCGACCGTCACGGCCATTCGTGACCATTTCTCTCAACTACCAAGTACCAAGTACCACTAACCTCTCCTCATGTGGTACCAGTAGTACAAGTAATAGACAGGTCGACCAGGTTGTTAGACATACGAATATACAGTAGATTAAAGTGACGCATGTGCCTTGCCCTTCTTCTCCTCCCCTTCCCTTGGTCTCGATTCTCAAAAGCAGATCGATGAGAAACAAAAAACAAAAGAGAGAGGCAAAGGCTCATCCCCACGCCGACAAAAAAGCCAGTGAGTAGGGTGTAGTAACGACGCTAACGATCTGCATTGCCTTCTGGGGATCCGGTCAAATGCCAGGTTGTTTGTTAGTCAGTGAATATACTCTTCTATACTACGTAGCAAAGCGCACGCGATGGACAGGATGAGACTTTGAGAAAGGATCCAGTGAGGGATGGGATCGATGCATGCATGGTCCTAGCAGGTGGGGACTACCGGCAGAAAGAACCTACACCGGCCATGGCTATGACACGTCGAGCTCATGATCACTGAACGGTTCACGAGCAGGAAGAGAGCTCTCCTTCCCAGTTCTTGTTTACCCTGACTTTGCAGAGGTGCTGAATTGTATGGCTTCCTCTATCCTCTTCTTTCCCAAGATCATAGAAATAAACTCATGCACTTTATTTGCAATGCGTAATTGGTACTCCCTCCGTAGGGAGTACGTATTAAGAAAAAAGGGTTTTTCCCGCTTTGTAGTACAAAGCAACCAACTTCGATACAACCAACGATAGGTGCTGGGGCGGAAGCAGCACATTCACGCCTGTCGCCCCCTCGGGTCGCCCCCGTGGGCGACCAGGGGGAAACCCTAGCCGCCGGCGCCCGGACTCTCCCGCATCTCCTCCATCCTCGCCGCCGCCAGTAGCGCCGCCGGGCGAAGCCAGGCCGGCAGGGGCGGCGGCGGGGCTCCCTTCCCCTTCCCCCGAATGGGCTGGCGCGGGACGGCCAATCGAGAGGAGGCGCCGTATTTTTGCGGGGTGCGGCGGCGCTGCAGATGGATCCTGGCCGCGACGTGCACTGCGCGCCGGCGGTTGGGGTTCGTGCTCGCGGCGTGGTGCGGCCGCTGGATCTGGTGGTCGCGTGCGCCGTCGGTCTCGGGTCCGTTTCTTCGGGATCCGGTGCCTGATCGCCGTCGGCCGGCGCAGGATGGTGGCTTTCGTCGCTGCCAGGTCGGGTCTTCCTTGATCCGGTGCCTGGGTGGATCTACGCCAGAGGTGTTGAGCCTTATGGTGCTTCCCTCTCTGGAGTTTTCGGGTCTTGGCTGCTGCCAGATCCAAAGCAGATGGAGATTGGTTGGACAGGAAGAGGACCGGAGGAAACTTTGGTCGGCTAGCTCGGCCCGGCATCGGCGACGGCTTTGACGTCGTTACCCATCTTGATGGCGAAGTCGAGGTCCCTCCTATCCACCTCCGTTCCGTTCCCGGACGAAAGTCCAAAATCCGTCTTGGATTGGACGGCGGCGGCGCCCTTTGCGTCGTAACCTCCATGGAGGCGCCGTCTTGGGAGGCTTGGGCGTTCGGGGGAGTTGCTATGGGTGAACGGCTTCGTGTGTCAGTTCCAGCAGCGGCAATGGTATGGTGGTTGGCAGGAGGAGCGGCGTTCTAACCGCGTCAGATGCGTCTGGTAAGAGATGTCAAGTCATACCTGACCGACAGGTGCTACGCTGTGTCATGCCTAGTCGGCAGGTGCTACGCACGACAGATCTTTCAGAGTGTCCGCGTCGGGATGGACGAGCGCAGAGCGGTGGAGCTGTCTGGCGTCATGGTGGCGTCGACGGTAGCTAGACCGTGCAAGGTAGATGCAACAGTACAGCTCTGAAGATGGTTTGGTGGCAGGTGGCTGCGGCGGCCTCATACCCGGCAGGCGTCCTGGTTGAGGAGTGAGCCGGACTGGTAGGTACCCCATACCTGGCAGGCGTCCTGGTTGGGACTTCAGGTCTTAGATGTTTAGGTTTGGCTGCGATGTCTGTTTGGTATTAGGCCCAGACTATCAGCGCCCCTTCATCGATTGGATAGGTGTAGCGACAGTTGTTGCTGAGAAAGTGGCTTTAGTCTTGCTTTTGTATGTCTTTGTAAGGTCTTGTGAGAATAATTAATAAAGTGGTCGTATGCATCGCCCAGATGCAGAGGCCGGGGGTCATCCTCCTTTTCTAAAAAAAACGCCCAAAAGAAATGAAAGAGAAAACAAAAATGAAACAAAGCGAAAACGATGAAGACCCACAACCGCTGCGCCCACCGGAGAATTCGACCACACTCCAAGCACTCCGGACCGCCGCATACCAAGCAACACCTTCAAGAAGGATCGCGACGCCAACGACGCTGCTGCCCGGACAAGTCCTAGGGTTTCCCCCGGTACGCAGAGGATTGCGGGGGAAGGGGCAAACTCGACGCCCTTCAGGAAGGCACGGCGGCGCCCACAGACGTCACTGCGTCGGTGCCGGACAAGCCGACAAGGATTTCTCCTGACCACCAACCACCCACGACTCCAGACGATCCATCGTGCGCCACCAAACACGCCGCCCACCAACATGCGCCACCATGGTGTGCAGTCCCCATCGTCGTCTCCCCGTGGAAAACGAAGCGAGACCGGCGGGAACAGAGAAGGCAACCGGGAAGGAGGGACGGCAACAACAGTAGCCACGCAGGAGGGGACAACCTCCACCGCCCGTGGCGGGAACCGGCTGGACGTAGCAACAGGGGCAAACCAGGCAACCGCGACCAAATCGACCGGGGGAAAGGGGAGGCGGAGAAGTGGCCCATGGCCACGACCGGCGTTGTGCCGGCTCCAGCTCCCCCACGAAACCATGTTTTGCCCCCGCGCCGAAGGCCCAGATAGGCCCGGCCGAGCCCGAGACGGGCTCGTGAAGCCACGGTCGCCGCGCTGCAATACACTAGCCGCCGTCGCCGCCACCCCCCGCACGAGTCGCCCTGCCGTCCGCCGGAGACGCCGCAGAGGAGCTCCGGCCAGGCCCGCCCAGACCCAGATGGGGCCCAAAAGGGCCCAGATCTGGGCCGGGAGGGCACCACCGCCAGCCACCGCGACGCCCCGCCGCCAAGCAGCGACGCCGCCGCCACCTCGCCACCCGGCACCGCACCACCCAAGGTGCCACGCCACCGCCGGATCCGCTGCCGCCGAAGTACGCCGTCGCCAGCCGCCAGCCGCCCGAGCCGTGGCGCTGTGCGAGGGGAAAGGACGGGGCCGCCGCCGCCGGCACCACACGAGCAAGGCCCGGTGGTCCAGGCCGACGGCGGCGGCGGGAGGGGAGACGGGAAGGGGAGGCGCTGGGGAAGGCTGGGAGGAAGCCCCCGGTCGCCCTGCTCGGGGAGGCGACGCGGGGGTACAATGGTGGGAGGAGGGGGGAGGGGGGAAGGGAGGGGGAGGGGGAGGGGAGTGCTAGCGGCGGCGGGAGATGACTGTGCGTCACTATGATGATTTTAGAAGAAAACTTGCAGGTTGATAGCTAGAGGCTCATAAATTAAAGCTCGTACGTGCACTTGATTTGCAACGTGTAATCACTTGGCAAGGCGCTGGAAATCTGGTGGCCTTGTAAACAAAATCATGGCGATTCTTGACTATTTTCTCTCAACCACCTGTCCACTCTTTTAAGCTACTACTGTGTGACTTGACACTAACATATTTGACCTTTGGCCCAGGAGTCCAGGGCCCTTTTCCTCTTTTGACCTCTACTCCCAATCCCATGGTCCATGAATCTTCATCCATCCAGGCCTACCACTCCTGAAGCACATATGCTTGCTTGTTCCTAACCTCCTTGCCATCCACTCCACATCATGATGCTGATTGCCGATCCCAGCATCCTAGGTCCTAACATAACATGCACGGTCAATTCTTCGCCTGCTTTTGTGCCCCGGTTTGTGGGCCAAATGATGCATGTAGCATGAAACGTCCGCATGCCCGGCTTGAGAGCAACACAAATATAACTAACCGGTGCACTTTACTCTAGCCGCGTGGTCCACTGCCCTAAAACATTGACTTAATTTATACCTGCTTGCTTGATGGTAACAGCACAAGGCGTTGGCTGTAGCGTTGTAGCCTTGGCCAGGGTCGATGGCAACAACACAAGCCATATTCTGCACCATGTGTCCTAACTCCTAAGCCAGGCTGCTGCGTTGCCTTGCGCAGAGTTGTTTTTCTCTGGTTATTTTGCTCATATTGGATGTTGGCTAGTGGCAGTTGGTGTAGCCAAGTGTCTAA